GTGGGTGAGCTAACCGAATAATTCCATCTCTACCTGGCCCTGGATGAGGTGAACATCAGTCATTGGAGCAGACCGAATAATTCCATCTCTACCTGGCCCTGGATGAGGGGAACATCAGTCATTGGAGCAGATGAGGCTGAACAGTTATAAAAATGCCATCTGATATTATGTTGAACATCTAGAGCACTCTAGTCTTTGATTGTTATGAATGCTTTTGTATTGTGGGATTTATAAATGTCTTTAAAGTTGTTTTATATTGGCGTTTGCCACTTGTAAGCCGCCCTGAGCCCGCATTGTGGGGAGGGCGGGGTATAAATTGAATTAAATAAATAAAAAGAAGCACCTCCCCTTTTGGAGAATCAGGTCATGTTCGTGGCATGCACAGGGCGAGCCGGGGGGCGGGGAACGGGACACAGGACACGAAGGTCTTTCTTTGCAGAGGATGATACAAGGTTGGTAGCTAACAAGGACCCTGACCTGGGTGAGCCAGGCTGGCCGATTCCCATCAGATCTCGAAAGCTACGGAGGGTCGGCCGTGGTTGGGACTTGGGTGGGAGGCCACCCAGGAAACCGAGGGGCAGAGGCGGGCAGTAGCGAACCATCTCTGCTGATCGTTTGCCCTGAAAACCCCGTGAAGGGTTGCCTTACGTCAGCCGCGACTTGAGGGCATTTTCTGCCACCACCAACCGATGGAGTCTTGTGAGCAAAAACCCTGCTTTGCGAGCTGCTGGCATTAAAGTTGTGAGCGGGCGATTTGGCGGCTGCATAAATCAGTTTGCTCTGGAGCCCTCCTGCCTGAGGTTAGACAAAAAGGGCCCTGACCTGGATGAGCCAAGCTAGCCCGATCCCATCCCACGTGTGGTAAAAAGGTAAAGGTAAAGGTTTCCCTTGCTCGAAAGCCAGTCGAATCCGACTCTAGGGTTGCGGTGCTCATCTCCGTTTCAAAGCCGAAGAGCCAGCGCTGTCCGAAGACGTTTCCGTGGTCATGTGGCGGGCATGACTAAACACCAAGGCGCACGGAACGCTGTTACCTTCCCACCGAAGTGGTACCTATTTATCTACTTGCAATTTCTTGCTTTCGAACTGCTAGGTTGGCAGGAGCTGGAACTAGAGACGGGAGCTCACTCCGTCATTGGGCACACTCGGGTCTCGAACTGCTGAACTACCGACCTTCCACAGCCTGCAGTTCAGCGTCTTAACCACTTGAGCCACCATGTGTGGGCCGGGGGGCTAAAAAACTGTGAGCTAGCTCTCACTAGCTCACCTTAGAGAGAGCACTGCCACACGCTAACAAGGCTGGATGGTTATTATTCGCGGGGTGGCAGTGAAAGCTATGAGAAGTGGAAGGCTGGGAGAGTCCCTATATGCCGCAACCAGTAAGTACAGTTCAGTACTGCCGGGCGCTGTTCAAGAAGCATAGGATGGTCCCTCCCTTCCCCACAGTACTACTTAAACATTCCTTGGGGAAACCGGGGTCATTACTGCCACCTAGCCACAGTAATCCATGCAACGGTCACCTCGAGGCTAGACTACTGTAACTCGCTCTATGCAGGGCAACCCTTGAGACTGACCCGGACGTTGCAACTGGCCCAGAATGTAGCAGCTCGGGTTCTCACTGGAACCCCATTAACAGCACATATCCAACCCGTGCTTCGCCGGCTGCACTGGCTACAGGTTGAAAACTGGATCAGATTCAAGGTTTTGGCATTAACCTTTAATGCCCTAAACGGTCTGGGACCAACATACCCCCCAAAGAGCACTGCGCTCAGTAGAGGAAAATCTACTGAAACTGGATCAGATTCAAGGTTTTGGCATTAACCTTTAAGGCCCTAAACGGTCTGGGACCAACGTACCCCCCGAAGAGCACTGCGCTCAGCAGAGGAAAATCTACTGGTGATCCCTGGCCTGAAAAATATCCGGCGGTCCTCAACCAGACGCCAGGGCTTTCTCAGCCCCGGCTCAGCCCCGGTGGAGCTCTCTGCCAAATGGCATCCGGGCCCTGCAGGACCTAGATCAGTTCCACAAGGCCTACCGTTGAGGACGGCAATGGCTTTCATTTAGCTTGGCCTTCCTTTTTTGGTGTAGTGATTAAATGCGCAGACCCTAATCTGGGAGAACCGGGTTCGATTCCCCACTCCTCCACTTGCACCTGCCGGATGACCTTGGGCAAGCCATAGTTTCTGTCAGAGCTGTCCTTGAAAGAGCAGTCCTCGAAAGAGCTCTTTCAGCCCCGCCTACCTCACAAGTCATCTGTGGTGGGGAGGGGATGGAAAAGGAGTTTGTAAGCCGCTCTGAGACTCCGAGTGAAGGGCAGGGTATAAATCCCATCTCTTCTTCTCTCCCCCCCGGGGCAAGAAATCTGATTCAGACACCATCTGGAATGGTCACTGTAACTGTTTCATTGTTTCTAACTTGTGTTAAATGCTTATGATTGTACCCCCTTCGAGTATTTTACACTGCCCTGAGCCCCAAGTAGGGGGGAGGGTGGTTTAGAAATCGAATTTATAAAATCAATAGGAAGGGAAGCCCATTCTGGGCGGTGCCTGGCACAAACGGCTGCTCGTTCCTGGAGTGCGATTTAGAGGTCTGGGAGATTCCCACCCTCTCGGAGGGGTGGTTCTGTCCACAGCCAGCTGACTATTCCTCCCCCCCTCTCCTTCCTCCCCAGTGCCCAAGGTTCAGTTTGCCAACGACGACAAGCACCTCCTCGCCTGCTGCTCTCTGGACGGCACCATTTCTGTATGCCAGCTGGTGCCCACCCCTCCGGTGGTGCTGCGGGTGCTGAAGGGACACAGCCGCGGCGTCTCCGACTTTGCCTGGTCGCTCTCCAATGACATTATCGTTTCCACTTCGCTCGACGCCACGATGCGCATCTGGGCCACCGAGGACGGCAAGTGCATCCGGGAGATACCGGATCCGGACGCGTCGGAGCTGCTCTGTTGCACGTTCCAGCCGATGAACAACAACCTCACAGTGGTGAGTAAAGAGAAGAGCCTCGGCTGGAGGTGATGATCGTTTTCTACCAGCGGGCGATGAACAAAAATATATTGGGCCTTTGTGATTTGGAGGCTTTCTCTGGCTTAACATCAGCACCTTAGAATCCGGATTGGAACAGCTAACTTCAAGTCCAGGAGCACTTTAGAGACCCAACAAGAGCCAGTTTGGTGTAATGATTAAGAGTGGCGGATTCTAATCTGGGAGAACTGGGCTTGGTTCCCCACTCCTTCACATTCAGCCAGCTGGTTGACCCTTGGGTCAGTCACAGTTCTCCCAGAGCTGTTCTCTCAGAGCTTTTCTCTCAGTCCCACTGATCTCACAGGGGGGGTCTGTTGTGGGGAGAGGAAGGGAAGCCGTTCTGAGATGAGGCTTCGAGTGAAGGGTGGGGTATAAATCCAACTCTTCTTCTTCTTTCAAGAGTCAAGGCTCTCTTCCTCAGATAAAGATCAGGTATTTGACTGTGGCAAAATGGGACTGCTCTGGCCTGGTGGCCCCATTCCACCCTGCCCTCCCAGGTGTTTCTCCACACCTGGAGGGGCTTTTCTTCCACTGTCAGGGCAGTCCACCACCACTACCTGACCTCTGTATGGAATTGCTCACGGGGAGGGTCAGGAATCCCAGCTTTCCTTCCAAGTTCTGAGGCCCTGCCTCTGTGTCTCCTGCTGCCCGGCACCTGGTCACCACGGGGACAGTTTACAGCCTTGCGTGCCCCTAGAGTAATGGCCACTTGCCGACTGCCTGGCTTCCCCCTTCCTGGTGCTTCTTTTAAAACAGCATGTCTAAGACAATGAAGGTCTATGTGGTACAGAGGACCACTCCCAGCATCCAGCGTTATGAAGTATTTATTAAAAAGATGTTTACAACCGTACTTTTAGCACAGCACCAAACTGAGCAAGGGATAAAAAATAGGTAAAGCGCAAATACACTCTGTCCCTCTCTCTATACATGCCCAATCAGTTGTTAAGATACAGGTCAGCCTCTTTAGCTTAGGAGTTCTAGGTCTCTGCAAAGTTACCATTACCTTGCAGCTTGCTCCAGCTCTTGAGGCAAGCACATGGGCAGTGCCCGCCCGCCCAGAGGAGAGATCTGTGTGCACTCAGAGATGCAGCACCCAAGGAAGAGAGAGCCTCCTTCCTGGGGCAAGGAGTTTTTATCCTATCCCACTGACCAGGTCGTGTGGGGTCAAACAGGCGTTTCCTGGAAACTCCTTCCTAAAGACTGCCTAGATTTTATCCCTCCAAAACTCTGTTCCCTACTAGGAGGAAGGGGGAGATCTTGCCCCGCCCATTATCTCTTCTGATAGATCTGTTAGCATTTTAACGAAGGTGCGCCGAGGTACGCCTGGAAAGCAATTGCACAGACTCCCCCCTCCCCCGCCTGTTCTCTGCCCAGAGGAAAAAAATCCTGTTAAAACGCAAAAGGGGAGGTTTTACTCCTCTCAAACCCCCCTCCCCCGGGAAAATCATATTTCTTCACACCGACAAAGGAAGCTTCAACTCCCAAAACATTTATTCCCCCAAGATCTTGTTGGACTATAAGGTGCTTCTGGGCTTAGATCTGGCTGTTCTTCTGCCGCAGACCCGCGTGGCTCCCCTCTGAAAGGATCCAGGCCAATTGGTCTAGCCGCTCGGTTTTTGCAGGTGTGGGAAGGGAGGCGAGAAGGAAGCGCGTCACCTATGGAAGCCCTTCCCCCTTCCGGGTGTTCCAGCTCCCCAGTGAAGGGGCAGAAATGAGACCGGAAGGGCATGTGTTTTTTTCCGTTCTCCGTCCCCTGCTTTATGCGGCAGTATGAGACGGAGATCTTTCTCTCGCCCACAAGGTGGGGAACGGAAAGCACAACCTCCACGTGGTGAACATCTCCACGGGGAAGAAGGTGAAAGGAGGCTCCAGCAAGCTCACGGGCCGGGTCCTTTCCCTCTCCTTCGACTCCCCCGGACGGATCCTCTGGGCGGGAGACGACAGGGGCAGCATATTTTCTTTCATCTTCGACATGGCGACAGGTAAGTCTTGAGTGGGCCCTGCGGCAGGGGGGGGAAGGGCACTCGGCAGGGGTGAGGAGGTCGAGCGAGGCCCCGTTTGGCCACACGGTCGCAGCTCTCTGCTTCTCTTTCCCCCCCTCCCCAAAGGAAAACTGACCAAGGCCAAGCGCCTGGTGGTGAACGAGGGCAGCTCTATCACCAGCATCTCGGCCCGCTCCTGGATCAGCCGAGAGGCACGGGACCCTTCCCTCCTCATCAACGCTTGCATTAACAAGCTGCTGCTGTATAGGTGAGAGTCCTGACGAGGCGCCGCTCTGCCGGCAGTGACGCTTAAGTCTCATTATTGTCTACGCGGACAGCGCTGAAAAGCCCCCTGGTCTTAGCGGGTGGGATACGTGATGACCAGCCACAGGTTCTGTTCGCCATCCGATTCTGCTGCTTTCCCCCCCTCGACAGGGTAGTGGACAACGAAGGGACACTCCAGCTTAAGAGGAGCTTCCAGATACAGCAGAGCTCCCACCCGGTCCGCAGCATCTTCTGCCCGCTGATGTCCTTCCGGCAAGGAGCTTGTGTTGGTACGATCAAAGGGTTGGAACACTTTCCCTATGAGGAAAGGTTAGGGCGCTTAGGGCTCTTTAGCTTGGAGAAACGACAGCTGAGGGGTGACATGATTGAGGTTTATAAGATTATGCATGGGAAAGAGCAGGTAGAGAAAGAGGTACCTTTCTCCCTTTCTCACAATACAAGAATTCATGGGCACTCCGTGAAACTGCTGAGCGGTCGGGTTAGAACAGATAAAAGGAAGTACTTCTTCACCCAAAGAGTGATTAACACATGGAATTCACTGCCACAGGAGGTGGTGGCTGCTACAAGCATGGAATGGCTTCAAAAGGGAATTAGATAAGCATATGGAGCAGAGGTCCATCAGGGGCTATTAGCCACAAGGTATAGATAGGGGCTCTGGGGCAAGGGATGCTCTGTCATCTTGGTGCTTGGGGGGGGGGGCCAACAGTGGGAGGGCTTCTAATGTCCTGGCCCCACTGGTGGACCTCCTGATGGCACCTGGTATTTCTGGCCACTGTGTGACACAGAGTGTTGGACGGGATGGGCCTTTGGCCTGATCCAACATTGGCGTCTCTTATGTTCTTATGATACCAGTGGGCCTAACCTTTCATCACAGAGGGGGTGGAGGGCAGTTGCTTTAGATCCTGGGATCTGGGGAGTTGCTGTGGCTCAGGGGTAGACCATCTGCTTGGCATGCGGAAGGTTGCCAGGTTCAGTCCCCAGCGTCTCCAGTAAGAAGAGATTGGGTTTGTACCCCACCCTTCACTTGGAGTCTCAGAGCAGCTTACAGTCTCCTTTCCCTTCCCCTCCCCTCCCCACAACAGACACCCTGTGAGGGAGGTGGGGCTGAGAGAGCTCCTTCAAGGACTGCTCTTGAGAGAACAGCTCTGAGAGAACTGCGACTGACCCAAGGTCACGCCAGCAATTGTGTGTGGAGGAGTGGGGGAATCAAACCCGGTTCTCCAGATTAGAGTCTGCGCTCCTAACCACGACACCAAACTGGCTCTCTTACACCAAACTGCCTCAAGGAATCAGGTTGTAGAAGTGATGAGAAGGACCTCGGCCTGAGGCCCTGGAGAGCCGCTGCCAGTCTGAGTAGACCATGCTGGCTCTGATGGACCGAGGGGTCTGATTCAGTATCCGGCCGCTTCATCTGTTCGTGGGATTCCCTGTGGTTTGCCAAGCCCGTCTACCGCTTCTCCTTTCCAAACGGCAGCCGGGACTAATGGTAAAGGGTAGAAAAGGCACTCTCCCCTGTTGTGAGGGGCCTGTGGTTATAGAGACCCCGACCTGGATGGTACCAGGCTGCATCTCATCAGATCTCAGAAGCTAAGTAGGGTCAGCCCCGATGGGTACTTGCACGGGAGACCACTGAGGAAGCCCAAGGTTGCTACACAGGGGCAGGCAATGGCAAACTACTTTGTCTGTCTGTTGCCTACGGGGTGACCTCAAGTCGGATGCAACTTGATGGCACTTTCCCCCATTATAGCTACAGAGAGAGCCTCTCTAATAACTCCCCCCCTTTTCTTTTTAGTGACCGGCAGCGAAGACATGTGCGTCTACTTCTTCGACGTGGAGCGTGCTACCAAGGCCATCGTGAACAAGCTGCAGGGTCACAGCGCCGCTGTGCTGGACGTCAGCTTTAACTGTGACGAGAGCCTGCTGGCCTCCAGCGATGCAAAAGGGATGGTCATCGTATGGAGGAGAGAACAGAAATAGCAAACCCGTTCCTCCCCTCCTCCAGCAGGTGGAGATGAGTACACGTACTGGATGGGTTGTGGAAGGAAGCGACAGAACGGCAGTCCGGAGCCCTGAAAAGGAACAGACGGGCCTGGCTTTCTTCTTCCTCTCGCTGGTTAATTTTGCACCCCCTGCACATAGGAAAAACACTGAGCCTATTGCTGCACTGAAATAGCAGTCATTGCTTCCCTGCTTTTCAGTTAGCGGAGCTTTGTACAGGCGGAAGGGGAATCAAAAGACTACATGCCACGTCCTTCCTTTCGTGCACGGTTTCCTTTCATCAGTGACTTTTCCTGGATGTTCTCTCCTTTTGACGGCAGCTACAACTGTCAGCGCTGTCTGCTGAAAAGGGGTTGGTAGACCTCTGGCTGTTAGTTGACAAGAGAGGATCTGGAACCACGGGACTTCCGACTTGTGCGGGTGGGGTCTGATGGTCACCGTTCTACGTACAGCCTGCTCTGTGAAACAGCTTTGGTTACCCAGTTCCTTCCAGAAAAGCCAGGTCCTGTCACAAGCAACACGAAAGCACCAGTCTCCGTATTATACTGAGGACCAATTTTCTTGCCTCCATCAGGTTCCAGACTGAGCTGTCGTCTCAGGATTAGCTGGCAAGATCTACGTTTCGGGGCTTGCAGACATCTGAAGTTCTAACTCCCGACTTAGCATGAGAAAATCCCAGTTCCTTGACTCTTTTTCCACCATGTCTCTTGGCGGCAAACTTCCAGTGATTGAATGTCTTCCCCCTTACTGAAAGGAGAAGGTTAACACCAGGCCTAAGCTAGTGCTACGAAGAAGCAAGTCCTGACAGTTTGGAATGCTGCTGCTGTTGCTGGGGGTTGCGGAGTTCACCCAAGCTGCGGCTGGGATACCCTTGGCAGCTGTATGGAAGGACAGACGCTCCTGGCAGCCTGGGTCTAAACACGGACGAAGCCGAGTTTATTAAGCTGCTGTGGAAGCTGTATGAGGAAAACATAGTCGTGTGCCGTATGGCATGTATAGCATTGTAATAAGGGGTCGGGGGCAAGTTGTAATGAAACGTCTCTGTATTGTGGGTGTGGTAGTGTCTTCCCTACCGTTTTGTTTTTCTCTAGCGTGAACCAGGGGAAAAGGATCTAAGTTTCAGTAAGCACTGCAGCACTGGGAAAGGTGACTTGTTCCGGTTTTTCAGAGAGGCGTCCAGATGCTTAAAATCTAATTAAATAAGGGATATTTCTAAACTCCCTTTTAAGTGCGAGATCAGCAGAGAGACCAATATCAGTTGAAGTACAAGCTAGATACATCTTTAGGGTTTAAAGCAAGGTGCAAAGCCTCTTGCAAGGCTGAGAGCTGTGATGTTACAGGTAAGAGAATTATGACAACGTACTAATGGCGGTGAACTGATGTTTGTAACTGATGTTTGTAACAAGCCATGTAATCGTTCCAGCTCCAGGAAATTATTTGCAGGGGCGAGGGCACGAATAATGGAGATCAAACTGTAAAGGGACAGTTCAAAATAGCATAGGAATCCTAAAACTAATTTCCCACAGTCTCATTTATGCAGATGAGACGGCTGCGTTTCTAATGAATTGCAAAGGGCAGTTTACCTGAATCCTAATTTTTAAAAATAAATTGATGTCAATTTGACCAATGATAAGGGGTATTTCCTCCCCCCCCCCAAGAAGGCTATGAGCCTATTCTTGCTGTGGCATGTTCTATCACTGCAAAACATTAAGCGCATAAGTGGATTGTGTACTACCTGTAGGAGTCTACAGTTTTGGTACTCTGAGATCTTGAGCGACTAGCACTCAAAAAACCTGGTACCAGGGCCAGTTCCGGTTCACAGAAGCAGGGAAGAAGTTGACCAAAATGAGATAGACATGCAGGACGAGTTCTAAAGAACATGGACCTGGTCACGACAGGCCACTGATGGTGGACTGCTTGTGCCGCTGGCATGAAGTTTGGCTGCTGCTTTTTTTCCTTGGACGGCTCCCTCTCGTTAGGATAAATTCTCAACAGAAGATGTCACCTAGCGAATCTCTGCCCGTTGACCACAGCAGCTCCACGTTACTCACTCTAAGCAGCTAGCTACGTCAGCAGTCACCGGTGTGGTGCTTTTCGGCGCCATGGGACCCACCAACACCTTTCCTGGTACCCTCCAAGTGCTTTTGGAAAGTGGGCAGGGGTAGGTGAGGCTTTTGCACAGGAGGGCTTCTGATTGGCTGTGCAAATTAAAAGACATCGTGTTAAACAGAGCTTCTGTCTGAAATTTTGAAGAGGTACTATTAGTGTTTAGAATCATAGAGTTGGAAGGGACCTCCAGGGTCATCTAGTCCAGCCCCCGGCACAATGCAGGAAGTTCACAAACACCCCCCCACACACACCCCAATTAACCACTCTTCCACGCCCAGAAGATGACAAAAATCCTCCAGGATCCCCAGCCAAACTGGTCTGGAGAAAAATGGCTTCCTGACCCCAGAGTGGCGATCGACATTTCCCTAAGCGTGTAAGAAAAGGCCATGAGAACTAAGCACTGAGGCAACCCTTCCTGCCCTCCCTCTCACGATATGCCTAAATTCACAGAATCCGCATTGCTGTCAGATGGACATCTAGCCTCTGCTTGGAAACCTCCAAAGGAGAGCCCACTACCTCCCAAGGAAGCCTGTTCCACCGAGGAACCGCTCTAACTGTCAGGAAGTTCTTCCTACCGTTTAGCCGAAAACTCTTTATATTTCAGCCTGTTGGTTCTGGTTATATATAACCTTGCTCTCTGACATTCTGTGGTTGGCACTGCCTCCTCCAGCAGCCACTGTGTGATTGTGCCCACTGCCCTGTGTCAGAATTCCAAAGGGGCCCGCAGGCTTGAAAAGCTTGGGGACTCCTGAGCTAGATTCCCCTCATATGAAAGCCACAATTTGCACTTGCTTATAACCAGTGGAAAATATAGATGGCATAGAAGAACTTCTGTTTAACCTTCAGCATTGAAAATGAGCAGCACTGTGAAGAGTAGTTCTGCGTCTTGCAGTGCAGAAGGGACAGCCATGTTAAGCCCTTCCGGGAACGTCTTCTCCTCAGTGGCCACTAACTATTTTTTTCTAATTCAACACCATTAAAACCTAGTATCTCCTGCCAACCAAGGTCGAAAGCAAGAAATTGCAAGTAGATAAATAGGGACCACTTCGGTGGGAAGGCGTTCCGTGCGCCTTGGTGTTTAGTCACGCCGGCCACATGACCACGGAAACGTCTTCGGACAGCGCTGGCTCTTCGGCTTTGAAACGGAGATGAGCACCGCAACCCTAGAGTCGGATTCGACTGGCTTTCAGGCAAGGGAACCTTTACCTTTTAAAACCTAGTATAGGAGCAGCTCGTTCTCCATTAGCTCTCTACTTACAGGAGCTACAACCCAGAGATGTCCCATCATTATTCACCTACATCCTGAAATGTGGGAATATCTTTTCATTAGTTCTTCAGGGCAGAGAAGGAAAGAAAGCCTAACTTAAGGTAGGGCCCCTGGTAGAGTATGTACTTGGCATGCACAAGGTCCCAGGTTAAATCCCTGGCATCTCTGTCTAAGAGGATCAGGTGGAAGATGATGAGAAAGACCTCTGCATGAGTACCTGAAGAGCCACTGCCAGTCTGACTAACCTTGAGGGTCCAATGGTCTTATTCACTACTAGGGAGCTTCATGTGGAGGAGGAAGAGGAGGAGATTGGATTTATACCCCGCACTTCACTTGGAGTCTCAGAGCGGCTTACAAACTCCTTTCCCTTCCCCTCCCCACAACAGACACCCTGTGAGGTGGGTGGGGCTGAGAGAGCTCTTGACAGAAACTGCTCTTTCAGGAACAGCTGTGCCAGAGCTTGTGACTGACCCAAGGTCACATCAGCAGGTGCAAGTGGAGGAGTGGGGGAATCAAACCCGGTTCTCCCAGATTAGAGTCCGCACACTTAACCACTACACCAAACTGGCTCTCTATATGTGTTCTATAAGTCGAACAGAAATGCAACGCCCTCTGTAACACCCACCCCTTTTTCCCAGTAATCAGAGGCCAGTAAAATATGCAGCAAGGATGTGAAAGCTCTGAGTCCCGGGTACGATTTCCTCAAATGTTAGCCAGCCTCCACTTCGCCTTCCTCTTGCTAGGTTTGAAACTGCTTCCAGTTCCCGTTCTCCATACACAATCATACGTCAAACCATCCGAGTTTTGTTTTTTGGTGTTTTTTTTAAAAGAAACGATACAAAGTGTTAATTTGCAAACAGAATGAAGAATCCAACAGAATAGAGAAACCAACGATCTAATTAAGTCCATCAACCAACGGTCAGAAGCTTTGCTGCAGCTCCCAAAACACAGCTGCCTCTAGCTGCCAGATTCTTTGCCCTGCACTCCCACAAATGCGCTTTTAAAAAAAATGTCCCTTTAGGGGGGTAAAAATACATTAGTTAAGAGAGGTGACGATGGCTTGTCTGTTTGCATAGGACAACTCTGAGATAGGCAATAAGTGCGACTTCAAGTACAAATTATCTTGGAAACTGCGCTATGCTGAAAGGAGTTTCTGTGAATGAACAGAGATGGACAGCAGTTGTATGTAGCACACTGAGGTAATGCAGAGCTTGCGCCCTGCCAAATCCATTAAAAACCAAGTGGCGGGGGGGGGGCGGTTTTCCATCTCTCTGTAAGGCAACCAGTAAGCGCTTGCCCTTTAGAAAGCCAGACCTTCTATCTCTTTAGTAAACCGCAACCAAGAAATTAGCCAGTGTTCTCTGCCCCACGGCACCTGCAATCAAGCCTTCCTAATAATAAACTGATGTGGAGAAGACACCCCTGGCAGATTTACGATCCATCCTAGGCTGTTGTCCTTGTAGCCAGCATCTCAGCAGCAAGTCCAACAAGTCAATTTAATCACCTGCGTATTGAAAAGTCCCTCGCATACCATTAGAATACTCCTGCTTGGCAATGAGAAGCCGTTAAGTGGAGGCAGGGCAGCACAACAGATGCGGGTCACTGCCCGCTGATGTCGTTCACAGTCCCGCTCATCCGTTTTCTTAAGCAGGTACGGTCATTCTTAGATGGCCATTTTGCAGCAGCTGCCAGTTCATCTCTTTGCCTTCCAGTTCAAGCGTGGCCAGACGTCTCCCAAGCAAAACTGCCAAGAAACTAGAAGAGGTATTTTCGGCAGGACTCCATGCCACACTTACACTCAATGCGCATCCGCTTCTTTGGGGAGCCAGTCAGGCCTCCCATGAGACCAAAATTAGTGTCCATCCGTGTGCTCTCTGCATTTACCGGGTCCACTGTGCAGGAGGGGGGGGGGATGAGAGAAGGGGCAGACAGGTGTGGAATCAATACTGGAGCCAGAAACACTTATTTTGTACCATACCTGCCATCATACACAGCAGCATAGTGTAGTGAATAGAGTGTCGGACTACGATCCGGGAAACCCGGGTTCAAATCCCCACTCCACTATGGAAGCTTGCCGTGTGACCGTGGGCCGCTGGCACACTCTTGGCCTAACCTGTCTCACTGGGTTGTTTGAGAATAAAATGGGGGAAAGGAGAATGATGTAAGCCACCCTGAGTCCCACTGGGGAGAAAAGTGGGGCATAGATTGAGCAAGTAAATAAATGAAAATAAATATTACAGCTCCCAGCAGATGGTCCCTGATAGCACAGTTATTTATTCGCCCCAACAGACTGTGCTCTAGCAATGCCCTGCTTCCTTTAACAGTGACCTGTCATAATGAGGAAGAAGAGTTAGATAGGCATATGGAGCAGAGGTCCATCAGTGGCTATTAGCCACAAGGTATAGATAGGGGCTCTGGGGCAAGTGATGCTCTCTCTTCTTGGTGCTTGGGGGGGGGGTCAACAGTGGGAGGGCTTCTAATGTCCTGGCCCCACTGGTGGACCTCCTGAAGGCACCTGGTATTTCTGGCCACTGTGTGACACAGAGTGTTGGACTAGATGGGCCTTTGGCCTGATCCAACATTGGCGTCTCTTATGTTCTTATGTTCTTAAGAGTTGGTTTTTATATCCTGCTTTTCTCTGCCCTAAGGAGTCTTGAAGCGATTTATGTCCGCCTCTCCCTTCTGAGAATGTTCAGAGAAAATGATAACTGGCCCATGGTCACTCAACAGGCTTCACATGAAGGAGTGGGCAATCAAACCTGGTTCTCCAGATTAGAGCCTGCCACTCTTAACCACGCTGGGTCTCACATGAATGCTTTCTAATTACCCGGCACTTACATAGAAGATGCCACAGTTAAGTTACAAATACAGTGTTTCAACGCAGACAAAATCTAACTTTTAAAAAATAGTTCAACAGGACCCTCGTGTCCTAACCCTTGCAACCCAAACTGCATTGCACAAACTGTGACAGGCCCCAAGGCCCTTCCAAATTTCTGCAGTTTACCTTGCATGTTGTAGTCAAAGGTGAGTTCCTCCCCAATACGGATCGAGCGAGTGGCGAAGAAGGCAATGCGCGGCAGCCGCTCGTCCAAGTTTTCAATGAAGACGTTGTACACCTGGAGGTTGGGGTTACACTGGAAAGCAGATAACAACGGAGAGGAGAACTCAAATCAAATCCTGAATTAAGATGGTATGTTAATCTGGATCGGCCAGGCTAGCCCGATCTTATCAGATCTTGGAAGCTAATCAGGGTCGGCCGTGGTTAGTACTCGGGTGGGAGACTGCCAAGGAAGTCCAGGATTGCCACGCAGAGGCAGGCGATGGCAAACCACCTCTTGCCTAGAAAACACTGTGGGGGTCGCCCTAAGTTGGCTGCAGTCTGACAGTTTTTTTCCACCAATACCATGTTAAGGAAATGCGCCCCCCCCCCCCATTGTGACCCTCTCTACTCACACTGTGATTGACAAAATGCGAAATGTTGCCATAGTAGGCAGCATCCACCGTATATACGTCCTCTACATAGTCCAGGTCAAACAGGTAAGTGGCACCCTGCCGGTCATAGATCTGGCCCCGTCGCTCTGCCTCTTCTGATGTGATGATCTGGGAGAGAAGGACAGTGAACACAGGATGCAAAAGGGACGTTTCTGTTTCCTTAGCACACTTCTGCGAACGACACTTTCAGTTCCCTATATTTCCGTAACCATTTCTTCTACTGATCCTCTGCCTGCCTCTGTGCTTTGTATAGCCATAGACACATATCCTAATATTTTAGTTCTCTCTTCAGCAAGCCCTGACCTGGAGACCAAGCCCTACAAGGAGAAGCTGAGGGACTTGGGAATGTTCAGTCTGCAGAAGAGGACATTGAGGGGGGACATGATCAGTGTTCCCTCTAGTCTGCGGAGTCTTGTGAGCAAAAATTCTACTTCGTGAGCTACTAGCATTAAAGTTGTGAGCAAGTGATTTGGCTCCTGCATGAATCAGTTTGCTCTGGAGCTGTCCTTCCTGAGCTAAGACAAAAATGCATGAGCCGGAGGCTAAAAAACTGTGAGCTAGCTCACACTAACTCAGCTTAGAGGGAACACTGGACATGATTGCTAAGTATTTGAAAGGCTGAAGAAGAAGAGATTGGATTTATACCCCGCCCTTCACAACCCAAAGGTGTCTCAGAGTGGCTTACAAACTCCTTTCCCTTCCCCTCCCCACAACAGACACCCTGTGAGGTAGGTGGGGCTGAGAGAGCTCTGATGGAAACTGCTCTTTTTCAAGAACAGCTCTCATCAGAGCTACGGCTCGCCCAAGGTCACCCAGCAGGCGCAAGTGGAGGAGTGGGGAATCAGACCCGGTTCTCCCAGATTAGAGTCCGTGCACTTAACCACCACTCCAAACTGGCTCACACAGAGGAGGGCAGAGAGCTGTTCCTGTTGACAGCAAAGAGTAGCACTCATAATAAAGGGTCTAAATTACAGGCAGAAAGGTACCAAGCTGGATATTATAGGGGAAAAATTACAATAAGAGTAATTCAGCAGTGGAACTGGCTGCCTATGGAGATGGTGACCTTGTCCTCACTGGCAGCTTTCAAGCAGAGGATGGACAAACACTTGCCATGGATGGCCTGTGCGGCCCCGTCCAACTCTATGATTCTATGATAGCCCAGGCTAGCTTTGTCCCATCAGACTTTTGCAGCTAAGCCGGGTCGGCTCTGATTAGTGCTTGGATAGGAGACCACCAAGGAAATCCAGGATTTTCCTATGCAGAGGCAGGCAATGGCAAACCACCTCTGAACATCTCTTGCCTTGAAAACCCTATGGGATTGCCACCGGTCGGCTCTGACTTGATGGCAGAAAAAAAAATATCTTCAACAAGCATCTCCATTAACATTCAAATGCTCTGATTAAGTTCATGTGGCAGATTAAGAGTTCTCTATTTACAAACCTAAAGCTATTCTCACCATAGTAGAGAAGTTGCCAAGTGATTCCTTAAATTTCCAAGAAACTTTGAAGTTGTCCCTACAGTGACTTATGGCAGAGTACATCTTCTTTTATGAGATTTTTACCCCCCCACTCAAGGGTCTTTGGGCTGAAGACGTTCAGTGGATGGTTCAAAAGTATCTCACTATTGATGTGAACCTTTCGCTGTGTGAAGCAAGTTCTGTTCTAACAAGCATTAGGTGGAATTTTCCCCATTATTGCCTCTTTATTGATGGTGGTATGTACTAGACGTTTTATAAAGCAGCTATCTGCAAACATAATAGAAGATTATCTTAATTCTGATAGTGCTCAGTGATCTCTTACTCTAAGATACAGTGACTTCTGGACTGAGCAGCAGCAGTTTATGATGGAAAGGGGGGAGATAAAATTGAGATTTTAAGGAAACAGAAGTATTTGTGGGAGCATTATATGCATCGTTCAGCGTGCTGACAAGAAAAATTCATCCAGTATCTTTTCCTTTCTTCCTGGAGCTTCCTGGCTAATGGCCCCACCTGAGTTAGCAAGAAGGCCAAACACTTCTCTCTGTTTACACTGGCCCTGGAATTCGAAGGACTGGCTGCAATTATTTAGATAAAATGAAGAATGGGAACAGCCAATGTACACACATTGTTAACAGGGAAGCTCCCACTCCGTCAGTGCATTCCTTCATTAACCACATAACAAAGTCGTCAGGGGACTCTGTCACGTGCTTAGTCCTCGCAGCCCTGCCTGTCTATCCTATCATCTTCCCAATATCCCTCTGGTCTCTGATAAAGTGGTCTTCTCAGCTGGCATTTCATGAACACTGTCTCTGATGGGACTCCAACCATGGACTAGACCAGGGTCCCCCAGTGTGGCACCTGTGGTGGGTACATGCAAGCATTTCCGTGTGCTTCAAGAAAGTAGATGGGTATAAGTACAACCACTGACTAGATACATTCACAGAACTAAAGGGGCTTTTCACCTGGATCTTTCCATTCAGTCCCTGGAGAAGGATCCAGAACCCTGTGAACAGGATCTTCCCTTTCCACCATTAGTCATATTTCTGTGTGTGTACACACACACAACCTTGGGCCTCATCTGTGTATTTATATTCCCCATCCCCTTTCCTTTGTTGTATATGTTCTTGGCTCCACCTCTGGTGGCAGCCATTTTATAGTGGTGCTCACTGCCCTACCTCAACATTCCAAACGTGCCTAGAGGTCCAAGAAGATTGAGAGCCCTGGATTAGACTATTTGCTATGCTCACACTAACTGAAGTTCCTATGTTTTTACTGTGCAGAGGCATTATGGCTTCCCTCCCAGGTGAACCCAGTTTCCATTTCATTCTTCTCGTATCCTGGGCCACCACCTGTAAACCTCTTTTGCCTCCTGCCTGCCCGTCGTACCTCTCCTACGTATTCCATGACAAAGCTGTTCTTGCGGATCTTCTCCAGCGTGCGCACACCCCAGCCACGCCCGTTATCTGTCCGGAAAATGCAGAGGTCATAACGAATGCCTTTCTGCACCACACGGTTGGGGCAGTCGCTCCCACAGCTGCAGCGGGAATTGCACTCATAGATGGGCATGCCGGCCTTGATCTTCACTTGGCCCAGCTCGTTATAGGCGAATTTATGGTGCGAAACCCCTGGGCAACAACCCCCCACTGCTTCCAGCAGACAGTCTCGGCATTCGCAGCCCACAGCCACCTGGTTGAGAATGATGCCATCCCCAACCTTGTACTCGTTGATGTAGACAAAGTCCCGGGGAGGCCCGTCCAAGTCCACTTCGTTCTCTACCATGATGCGTCCCTTGTGATTGCGTTTGGCGTTGAGCTCGTACTCCCACTGCTGCAGGGCTTGCCGTTGCTTGGCCTTCTGCACCAGATAGTTGGTGATGCCTGGGTCAAGCAAACGCAAGTTCTTTCTCATCTTGTCTCCACGCCGGATCAATGCCTGCTCTAGGTCCCGGTGGAACTGCTTGAGGATACTGATGCAGCGCAAGTTCTTACGAGGCTCCCAGGTGTTTTCCATTTCAGAGTAGCCCCGCCACTTCACAAGGTAGTATTCTTCATCCTGCGCAAAAGGTAACCATGCCCAGTGTTAGCTTGAAACATGACATTCTTTTCCCAGTGCTGAAAACAGTCCGCAGAAAGGAAGGTCTCTCGGTAATCTCCACTGAAACCCCAAGGCAAGGAGAGAACCCAAGAATCCAGAGTGGAATTTAGCAGCCCTAAACCTGTTTACATCAGGTCTTACATAACACCCCTTCCCCACAATTCCATTTCTGTGGCAACCTTAGATTTCCACCCACAAGAGGGAGACTTGCTCTGCATTTCAGTACTGCCTGGCCAATAATAATGAGATGGGTGAAGGGAGAGGAAGAAGAGAAAGCCCAAAATAATGCCGAGACTCTGTACAGAAGCAGCCAACTGAGAACTAGGAAGAAGGATGCCCGGTCACATAACGCAAAAGCTGCAGGAAGCCAGCAAAACTCACCCGGACTTTCATGTAGTCACACAGATATTCCACTTCAAAATCATACAGGTTTTTCCTGGTGATGCCCAGGGACGGGCAGCATACTTTATCCAAGCGACACAAATCCTGGAGCTGGGACCAACTGGATTTGCAACAAACAGAGCAGGCTAGAGGGGATGAGAATGGGGAGAAGGAGCAGATATGAACATGTAGAATAAGCACTGTTTTGCCTTTGAAAAGATGGTTTCTCTGGCTAGTCCTTATCAGGCTTCTAACCTAGGGGGCCTGTGGTAGAATGGGCCTGCTCCAGCCTGCAAGCCCTGTTCCACCCTGCCCTCCAAGGTTTTCCCAACACTCGGAAAGGCTTTTCTCTCTCTCTGATAACCCGCCACTGCCACCTGACCTCTGTAGGAACTGTCCGCTGGGAGGGTCAGGACTCCCAGCATACCTTCCAAGTTCTGAGGCCTTGCCCCTGTGTCTCCCACTTGCCAGTGTCTGGTCACCACAGGGACAGTTTATTGCCTTGTGCGCCCGCCCCTAGAGGAATAACCACTTGCCAACTGCCTGTCTTCCTCCTCCTGGTGCTCCTTTTAAAATAGTGTGTCCAAGATGATGGAGGTCTATGTGGTACAGAGAACCACTCCCAGCATCCAAAGTTACAAAGTATTTATTAAAAAGAAAATGTTCACAGGCATACTTTTAGCACAGCACCAGATTGAGCAAGGGATTCAAAAGAAATGGGTAAGATGCAATTCCTCTGTCCCTCTCTCTATACATGCCCTATCAGGCTCCTTAGCTTAGAATGCTCTAATCTCTACAGGTTTTCCCTTACCTTGCAGCTTCCTTCAGCTGCCCAGGCCAGCACATGGTAACAGCGGCCTCCTCCAAGCCTCAGTTAAGCGTTCTGTCTGCTTCAATGGAATCAGCACCCAAGAGACCTCCCTCCTTGCTCCCAGGACTTTTATCATCTCTCTTTTCATACCCACTGACCAAGTCAGGCTGGATCAAAGAAGCTTTTCCTAAGGTCTCCAGAAGTTTCTTCTTGAAGTCCTAGTCTTTAATGCCTCCAAATCTCTGTTCCCTGCTTGGGGGGGGGGGGGAGACTGGACCATCCTACTGTCTTTAGCTGAACCAATTAGCATTTCTTAAGAGGTTGCTGAGTCACAGCTAGAAAGCCACTGAACTGACTTCCCCCTTCCTGCCTGTTCTCTGCAGGTTAGACCTATACCCAACGAATGCATTTCTTTACAGGGACATTAGGGGAAAAGAAACCTAGGATGTTGTGCCAGAGGCACTTTTCTAAGGTTGGCTGCAGGGGATAGCACATAAAACATTTCTAGCAAGCCATCTTAGGCCCCGTTCACACGGAGAAGTTGCCACGCTGAAGACACGGATGATAGGCAGATTTTCCGGGCACGATCACACCGCAACATCTGGGAAGCGTAGTGCACCCGTGGCTAACCCGTGGCTTGTTGCTGAAGATGCGGAGTAAAAAACCACCACATACGATGTACTAGTTTCCGGAAAACGCGGGGCAAGGGCGGGCGTCTGATTGCGTTTCCACTGAAAACCCGTGGCGTCTGGCGCCCGCCCATGTCCCGTTGCAAACCGGACGTGTTTTTTTAAAGTCTCCACAGGATGCACACAAACGACCATGCATATGTGCAAACTTCGGTGAGACAAAAAAAAAAATCCCGTTTGCCACGGAAGCGGCGCGGCGCAATTGCCGGTGTGAACGCGCCGTGCCACACTGCAGACTAGCCGTGTGATCGGCACCTAACAGCCTAACCATGGAACCTCGACAGGACGTCTGATCGGGCTGCCGCACATTACTTTGTTCCGGGGCAAACAGCCACGCTTCCCCCCCGCATTTTCCAGCCCGTGTGACTGGGGCCTTAGAAGACCTCTGTTACACACCCAGATTTGTTTTCAGATATCAGTTCCATACCAGCCTTCCACTTATTCCAGCCATAAGCTTTCCACCATAGCACCTCACTTATCTGCAGCTCCTGTTTGCTTTTGTCCTCTTTCACATACACATGCACTTGGAAGCTATGAATCCCTCGATGAGTCGATAGCCAGCCCAGTTTTATAGACCACTCACACATACAAATGAGAAAGGAGAAAAGTTGGCTCTTATACTCCACTTTTCTCTACCCTAAAGAGCCTCAAAGCTTCTTATAACCACCTTCCCTTCCTCTCCCCATAACAGGCACCTTGTGAGGCAGGTGGGGCTGAAAGAGTTCTGAGAGAAGGGCGACTGGCCCAAGGTCACCCAGCAGGCTTCATGTGGAGGAGCAGTAGAGAATCAACCTTACACTATGCTGGCTCTTGTGAAGCGAGAACTCTAAAAACCAAGCTAAAAGTAGCACAGGACTTGTGCTCATACAATTCTGACTCCGGTTAAGGCTCTCAGCTGGCTCACCCCAGAACCCCAAGATAGGCATAAACCCAATATTTACTATCTAGCACATCTGTATCCCTACTTTTTATTTATTTAAAGCATTTATTAGCCACCTTTCTACCTTACCGAACTCAAGTCAGCTTACAATACAAAGCAATAACCATAAAGCCCCCAAAAAATAACCATAAAAGTCCTTTTCCACCAAGAAGCTCAGAGTTGCATACGTGACTCTCTAGTTTTATCCGCACAACAGCTCAGTGAGGCGGGTTAGACTGAGAGTGCGTGTGACTGGTCCGGAGCTACCAAGTCAGCTTCATGGCAATGACGGTGTTTGAACCCAGGTCTTTCAAACACACTGGTACTAAATGCTAACGGACTGGCACACAGGTTAGGAGGAGACGGCAGTAGCTGCTTATCACTGGCAATTCAAGCACCGTACACCACCCAGATTGTGTGACCGATTTTACATCCCAAGCAAAGAGTCATCAGTTCTTCCAACTTGTTCAAATGCTAAGAAATAGCACTGTTTCCTCCATTTGCAAACCCACAAGAAAAAAGAGGAAGAAGTCGACAAAAACCCACACCCAAAGAATCCTCTTTCCTAAGAAAAGTTTAAATACTTCAGGTCAGCATTCATACAAAAAACTGGTGTGATTAAGAGACGCTAAGTGGAGACTCTTTATTTACTTCATTCATTTCCCTCCTTTCTCCCGCAAAACGGCATACATTGTTTATTTATTTGTTTGATTTGTATCCCGCCCTCCCTGCCAGGCAGGCTCAGGGCGGCTTACAGAGTATACATAAATATATTAAAACAGCGAGATACGTTAAAACAATAATAAAGTTAAAACCACAACATGTGCATATAGGTGCCAGCAAATATAGTACAAATAAATGATGGCAGCGTTACCTCAGCATCTCCTCTCCTCCACTGTATCCTCACAACAACCCTGTTAGGCAGGTAAGGCTGAGGGGGTATGTGACTGACCAAAGATTAGCCAGCAAGCTTCCATGACAGAGTGAAGATTCAAACCTTGGTCTCCCAAATATGATACTATATCCACTCTGCTACACCACACAATTCACATATACCCCACTATACTACCCCATGTAAGAGGTGTGGTAACAAATTACACACAGAAGGCTTTTAACAGCTGGATTTAAAATCAGAACAAACTACAAATGGGGAAGTGGAAAATTACAAGATCCCCTTTTCGTGTTGTCCATCCTATTGATTATTTTCCTCCTAGAACTCTTCCGTGGGGACAACTGCAAAACGTCACCATTCTAACAGTTAGAAACCTTCTTCCAGCCTGAGGCTGCAGTCCCACGCACAGCTAGCTAGCATAAGCCTGCTTGAACAAAGTGTGATTTACCTCTGAGTAAGGATGCACAGGAACAGGATTGCAAGTTTGTTAGTGGCTGATTTATAGTAATTAGTCAGACCCAGTAACCTAAGTATTTCTTCTCACTTTTCAGAAAATGACGTCCACCAAAAGGATCTCCAGCTTCCAAACCTGCTTTATGAATTTGATATTCTGCAGCTCAGGTGAATTAATCCAATACATACCAACAATTCAAACAGACATGAAGCTTAGCAAAGTCTCTGGAAACTGTTTTTTTTAATTGCCTTTCACCCGCAGAAAATTTATTCCTTTAGAGCGCATAATACTGACAGTACTAGGTGCAAGGTTAGTGTGAGGGTTCAAGGAAAGGGTGGAGACGAAGGGACAGGGATGATTATCTTTTATGATTAGCATAGTCATCTGCTCAAGCTCTTAGGATGCAGGAGGTTATAAATCAGATGCAACATAAGATCAGAGGAGTCCTGCTGGATCTGACCAGTGGTCCATCCAATCCTGTCTCACACTGTGGCCAACCACTTCCCCTGGAAAGCCAACAATAAGGCATAGAGGCTGAGGCCTTCCCCTGATGCTGCCTCCTGGCATTGGGATTCAGAGGTTGAGTGCCTCTGAACTTGGAAGTTCCCTTCAGTCACCATGACTAGTAGCCACTGACAGACCCCAAAGACCAACAAAAACATAAGAGTCATAGTTAAAGAAAGCCAATTAGCGCTTTACAAAAAGTGGACTGAAGATATTCTAAACTAGATGAGCCATCTCCCTTAGTGCTGAAGGATCTTCCCCCAAACCCCAGTATTCCTAAACAGATTAGCATTAGTGGTTAAAAAAAAGTTAGTGTCAAATCTAAATTAAGTTTGAGAGAACCTATCTCTGCATTAGTTTCAGAGGGTAGCCATGTTGTTCTGCATTAGAAGAACTAGATCTGAGTCCCGTAGCACCTTAGAGACCAACAAGATTTTGGGATATGAGCTTTCAAGAGTCAAAACTCCCTTTGTCAGGTACCTGAAAAAGGGAGCTTTGACTTTAGAAAGCTTTTACCTCCAAAATCTTGTTGCTCTCTAAAGGTGCTACTGGACTTGGATCAAACTCAGCATGACAGAGTTTAAGTCCAGTGGAACGTTTAAGACCAGGAAAATTTTATTCTGGGTATAAGAATCTGTGTGCATGCACACTTCTTCTGACGCCTGTATCTGAAGAAGTGTGCATGCATATGAAATCTTATACCCAGAACAAGACTTTGTTGCTCTTAAAGGCGCCACTGGACTCCAGCTTTCATCTGCTGCTTCAGACCAACACGGCTACCCACCTGAATCTAACAGAAGAAGTGTGCGTGCACAGGAAAGCTTATCCCCAGAATTAAACTTTGTTGGTCTCAAAGGTGCCGCAGGACTCAAACTTTGTTCTTCTGCTTCAGACCAACACGGCTACCCACCTGAATCTATCCGAAAAAGTGTGCGTGCACACGAAAGCTTATCCCCAGAACTAAACTTTGTTGGTCTTAAAGCTGCCACTGGACTCGGCTCCGTCTTGTCAAAAGTCAGTCTGGTGAAGATTGTCTCCGCAAAGGGAAGACGTTGTGAGGGAAACGTGGAGAGCAGCGCGCGCGCGGGGGGGGGAGTAGTATTAAATGGGACCCGGCTGGTACAAGGGCGCTTATGGAGGCCGTGTGGTGTAGTGGTTAGTGCTAAGACCAGCACCGTGGAGAGCCGGGTTCAGATACCGTGCTCTCGCCCTAACGGGGTGACCTTGGACCATCACTCCTTGGACCATCGGGCGGCCTCAGAGGGGAACACGCGGGAGCGGCTGAGGGCAAGAGTAGCGTCCCCGAAGGACTCGGCGGCGGCGTTTATTTCGCGCGGAGGTTTCATTTCGAGGGAGAGATCCGGCCTCGCCTGGCGGCTTCTGTGCCGGACTCTTGGTTCCCACCGCCCCCACGTCCCTCCTTTCCCGCCTTCGGGGCGAGAGAGGCGGCGGCGGCGGCCCCGCCAACGCGCCGCCACAGGATCGGGCTTCCTCGCGCGCGCGCGCGCCGGCTCCCTTAACGGTCGCGGCTGCCGCTGCCACCCCCC